GGTGAGGTGAGTACGGTAGAAATAGTCGAATATGGCATAGAGTGAGGTGATGGTAGTTTGAAGTGAGAAGTCAACTGCCAGTCAATGGACTTTTTTGCCGTATGAATATACGTTGCCCAGGGTGCACCACGTGGAGGTAAGTCTATCGCACACCCCATAGTCATTCATAAATTGTGCATATTAATAGGGGAACTAAAAACAGCCTTCGGTTTCGCAACGAACGGTGAAACGCTCAGTACTTTTCCAAATATTTCGGAGATTAGCCACGGAAATTTAGGTTCTGTCGACAAAAATTTAGATGAAAATGTCGTCTGACGTTTTCAACTCTATTTTCTACCACTGTTCTTCTAAGAATTCTTCCCAATCGCTAGTTGTACCTTACTCTGGTAAAGTGCTGGCTCTCGCAACTCCATTGTTGGCATAAGGTTCAATTCGTTAAATTCGCAACAACCGATATCACTATTGAAGATCTCCACCGGAAATTCTATAATCAAATCGTATCGTACGCTATTGTATTCAGAAATGTCAGCCACCTCGCATTGTGGTGGTCTAAACATCCCTACACGCACTCGGCAAAATATATCTGTTCAAGATGAGCTGAAAGTCGACAGGGTGAAATGGCAAATTCACGTGTCAAAATGGAAGTAGTCAGTGGAAACATTCTTAATCCTAACATGTTGAGTACCTGACATCGCTACATGTTGATACTTGAACCCGGATGGACTATGGTGAAAGTATCTGCACCCTCTAATAAGCAGGCTTAACTTTAAAGTGAAAACGATTCCAAAGATGATTTATTTGAGCACATCTTCCTCCTCTCCTCTATGAAATCCCGAAACTCCAGAGACTCAGTGCAATCATTGGCCCGACTGTTACACTAGATGCTTCAGAAAAACTCGAAAATGAGCCAAGATAGATTTGTGGGAAGGTGTTGATTGCAAACGGAATTTTAAAGATGTGCTAACTCCGTTTCGTACAAATAAACATTAAACAATTACTCCTATTATTAACGATCTGGTCTCGTTTTACATAGACTCGAATCTGTACGGGACAATAGAACCAAGGCAAAAAATTGTGGTATGGCTCGATTTCGATTAATAATAAGATCACAACGAATGCACATTTCTTCAGAAATATTAATTTACACACGCACGATTCTCCCCCAAAATTATTCACCACTGCGCAAGTCAGGCGAACGGGCACTAGGAAAATCGCCATTTCATTTTCGCATGAGAATTATACTTAGCCAATTAAGATTACGTTGACGACCCCTCACCCACATCAAATTGACCGGGACCTAGATAACCAGGTCATAAAGCCCACTTAACTCGTGCAGATTTCACTGCATTTCCAAAGTAGGCTAGAATGACGCAGGTGCTCGTGCATATTGAATTTGAATACAAAGAAGACAACTTAATAATAGAAAGCCATGCATCCGCTCCGCTATTGCTGCCAGCGGTGCCTAACAGACATTAGATGATGCTATGGACATGTTCAGCAAAGAATTATCTTCTTTTGCATGTACAACAGCATAGGCAGACGGAAAACATGAGCGATCTCTCTTGAGACAGTGAAACAACTTTAATATCACCACGTTCACTAAACACACAAACGCACGCCTTAACGTCGCAACTCCATCAAAAAATATAAATCAAAGTTCCCACCCATTTCTTACAAAATAAGAGCAGATAGTTCCAGTTTATTTTAAGAATATGTGTATATACTATATATATATATATCTTTACTAAGTTCTTTTTCGAAAGTATACAAAGTAGCGGAGGTCAGGAGTGTTACTCAACACTCCATTATCAACTGGTTAATAGGGTTGGGGGGGGGGGGTAGGGGAGAAAATAGACATAGGTATGTTCTCATATTAGAAAAAGGGCATTTTGAAAAATAGAAGAGAAAGAACAAATAGGGGAATGAGGAGGGAGACCAAACAGCCAGATTTCTTTCGGCGCCTAATTAAGTAGTATACGTTACACGGTTAAGAGAATCTGAGTAGAGAAGAGAGGGCGGGGGCTAAGGAGCTGGTCTGCCACCATATATATATATATATATATATATATATATAGGCATTACAAACACGATTCTCCTTTTAATCATTATAAAAATCAGAAAACATGCCAGTTTAAGCTGAGGTATACATGCAGGATTCAAATCCATCTTGTGTAATTAAATCTACTTATGTGGCTGAGGTAAAAATAAAGAGGGAGGGGGGGGGGGCGGCGGAGGAGGAGGAGGAGAAATCTTAAGTTGGCGTAAATGGAGAGAATAATTATGACAAAAAAACCAGTAAAACCGAGCAATAATAGCAATAAGTTTGGGTACGCGGGGCATGGGCTGAATGAAAGGTGGTAAGTAGGAGAATAGAAAGACCAGGGTGACTCGATTATACTTCACACGTCTATAAATAGTGTCATCTTCATTATATGGGCGGAGGCGGATGATGAGCCAAAGGGGTGGCTTGGATTTGAGCCAGATACTCCACAGCTGATGATCTAGGGGTGGCATTACCAGGAGCTAAACAATTCATGGATTGAAGAGGGTCAAAATCACTTGATTTTCCGCTTGTGCCGGAAGAATTTGAAAATTGGAACCCTTGAGAAGTGGTAAAGTCATCTCCGTTGAGGTAAATAAGCTGCTGATGTTGGAGAGTGGTAGGAGCAGCGGTAGCATTGATCTGGGCCACAACTTGCCGCCGAGCACTAGCATTCACAGCAACAGTGCTAGTGGTAGAAGCGGCAACTCGCTGCTTCTTTCTCGGTGCGCCATGGAGACCCTTTCCTGCGGCAGCCTGTTTTTCATGCGTCTTCGCATGCCTCTTCATCTCATCAGATCGGGCAAATTTGTGATCGCAATGCTCACAAGCAAACGGCTTTTCACCAGTATGCGTCCTTCTATGTGTGGTGAGATGGTCTGACCGGGAGAAGAATCGATGGCAAGTTGTACACTCAAATGGTTTAGCCCCCGTATGAATCCTCCGATGTCTAGTCAGCTCATCCGATCGGGAAAATGACTTGTTACAATCTATGCACCTGTGCGGCTTTTCTGCACCATCTTTAGTTCCCTTGGTTCCGCTTTTTGTGCCAGATGTTGACGTCTTAGTTGCTTTGGTAGCACGTCTGCCGGGAGGATTTCTACCCGTAGTAGAAGTGCTTGTGGTAGCGATTTCCGGCTTCGTAGAGGTCATTTTCGGGGGATCGAGTAAAATTGGAGCGTGAGTGGTGTTGGCAATAGTATGAACAGTCTCAGAAATAGCCGGTTTAGTAAGATTCAAGACTTTACTAGCAGGAGGTAGCCCGCTAGATGGGAGCTCTACATGATGTTGTTGCTGATGCTGAATCTGCTGATGGTCACTTTGTGCCAGGAGGCTATCTGCAGAATGAGTTGTTGAGGAGGCAATGAAGGTATTAGAAGGAAACAGGAGAGGAGTTCCAGGAGTAGGGTTGCCTCCAGCATCCTGACCGGTTCCGAAAGAGGTGTAAAAGAAGCTTTGTCCTCCTTTGGCACCAGGACTTTGACAGAGGAAAGAAATAATTGGAGTCGAACCAGTGGTACTGAGAAAAGTAGGAAATGACATAGCTGAGGGTGTTCCAGCAGTAACACCAGCTCTCTGACTATCTGAATCAATAGCGGGAGGGGAGAGGATAGCTTGAGGATTGAGAATAATGGGCGAGAAAATGGGAGTGGTGTTGTTAGAAAAGTCAGTGAAGAACTGCGGGTAGTCAAAAAAGTTAGCACTGGTCTGTCCCGTAGCTAAGGGTGATTGGAGGGTATTATGAGCTTCTGTCACTACCTGTGAGAGCATAGTAGGACCAGCATAAGTGGGAGTGTGAAGAAGTTGAAAGCTGAAAGGAGTGATGGCTGTAGTGCCTTGTATTTGTTGTTGGGACTGCTGAGCCTGTCCATGAGCTTGACCAGCTTTTACTCGCGAAAAATCCAAAGTGGGGGTAACAAGAGGATCTAAAGGAGTGCCAGAAGAAAGAAAGATGGATTTGGGGAGCTCTGTGACCGAGGGAAAGGAGTCCGGATTCAACTTCGGTGGAAGACTGAGAGTGGGGACACAGACAGCATGACCAGCAATGGAAGTGGTATCCAAAGGAGGAACAGGAGGAGCCGTAGTAATTGGATTCCCTGAAGCAATCGCTGTTGTCATCGAAGTAGCGGGAGAAGTAGTAGCAGGCACTACAGACGGCTTAGAAGACTTCACCATAGTAGTATTCGACTGAACAACTGTTGGAGGTGCCACGGCACTCGCCCCTGCATTTGAAGTAGAAGTCACTGTTGACGGAAGCAAAATAGGCTTCATGTCATTCACCGGCGATTTGACTGATGACAGAGATCCATCTAAGATTATGGCAAAGCAAGAATAGTAAATTAATAAAGCCCTGGAGTATTTTTTTACAACCCACCCAAGAACCTACCGATAAAAATAGCATTTGAGAAAGTAAGTGGCTATGGAATATTTTGCTTTAGAAACGATGCGCACATATGCACTGAGGTAAAGCAGTAACTCCTAACAATGCACAGCCTTGTCAAATAGAGTGCAGTCGGCTATAATTCGGAGTACTTCATTGACACTTAAGAAAGCAGTTTGAAAATCTGGCAGAAGTGAATAGCATAAAATTTAAAAATTAAACAGAGGAGGAAGACGGTAGTTTGAGTTTAACAGTCAAAACCCACGCATAGTATTTTGACGTCAAACACCCTCCTAATTAAGGCCAATAGAGGGGAAGAAAAATGTCCTTCGGATCAAATATTAGAGACCAAAATTTTTGTCGTTAAAGTTATGAAATTAAATGTCTATTTATTCCTTGACATTCATTATCATTACTCATATCTAATTGGAAGTTTAGTATGCAGATCCCTCCTTTAAAAGGAATATATTTTGATAAAGGCTGAAACAATTATTGTCCATTTGAAAACTTGATAGACCTTCTGTTAATCAAGTATAATAAAAAGAAGAAACCTAAAAAATATATAAAATCAAGAGGAGGATGAAAGGAAGTGAGGAGGGATAAAGAATAACATGCCTCGGATGTTGAAAAAGTGATATTTCATTGAGTGAGATGAATAAGGGAGAAGTCAGGCAAGGAGGGTCGGAAGTTGAAATGTTTTTGATGACAGTCAGTATGATGCTTAAAATAAGCGCATATACACCCCCCGCACAGCACACAAATGCGTATTTTATATGGCACCCAAAACAGAGCACGCACATTGGATAATTAGAAACGATCTATAGCACTCATAAGTTGCCATCACCCCGTTAATCCTACGTGGAAAGGTCAACCAAGGCCACCCTCGCATCAGTCACATTCTTTCTTAATATATTAGTGTGTTGCTAGTTATTTCATTATTGCAAGGGCTTATGCATAGCCAAGAGAGACTCACTGAAATGCGACTATAAAAAGGCGGCAACCAAGAATAGTCTATCGTAGTACACGAAAAGACTATGAAGTGACTACTTAAGTTACTCAATCGTAACGTTTCAATAACCGGTATGGACCACTTTTAGGTCTTAAGGGGAAGGAATACACACTCAGGGCCCGATAATACATAAACCACACACGCACACAAAGTATCCGAACCGCAGAATCTAGTAAAAACGCTACTACACAATGATGACAAACGGCTCAATAGGTGCGTGCGTGCTACTGCTGCGCGCACACACTTTCGACTTTCATGCTAAAGCACGTTCCTGTATGTGCGCGCATGATGGTAGAAAAAGAAGCGCGTCAAAAGAGCCAAGGAGCAAATAGCGCAGCACAGAGAGCGAGAGAGATGATAACACATACACAAGCACGCGCATCCCGTATAATAGAATTTTGTACGTAGGGCACTGTTTTGATACCACTGCTAAATCATCCAAAGCACATGCATATATTAAATGGGAAAGGAAATAGTGCAGATTTAGACCTGGCGAAGAGAGCATACTTAAAACAGACAAAGCAATTTGCTAGAAGACAATAGCAGCAGGATTTCCTTAGACTTTCAAAAGGAAACAAGCATAGAGTTTAAAGGATTGAGCAAATGTTCAAAGTAAAGAAAATAGAGATTTAAGGCTGTAAACAATTTACATCACAATGTCTAGTCTCGATGTAGTGCCTCAAAATCATCAAACATAAAAAATAAAACATTGAAAAAAAAACGGTGACGAAAACAAAGAACCTCGGAAGACTGGTTTGCAATTCTTACCATACGAAGGTATCTTACAGAAAATAATTTAAAACGAACTATGCCAAAACACTTACTTGAGCTGATAGATTGTCAAGCATTCAAATACGGACGAAAGGAAAAGACGCGATCGAACACAAACTTTCAATAACACTTTACGTTTTCAACGGGCGATATTTACAGTAATCTAGGCATTAATGTGGTAGCCGAGATATCCAGACCACACCAGGCATTTCAAGAGAGAAATCGTAATAAACGAAAAAATATGGGTGCTGACAAATTCATTTTTGAGTTTTTGAAAGTAAGAAGAGTCCAATAATAATAAAAATCCGAAAAGTATAGTTATAGTGTGAAAAAAAGAGTTCAGAGAAAACATGCTATAAAACCCTTTTTATTTAAAGGATATTCTAGGTGATGGTAATGCTGTAAACAAGTGCTTATTCTGTAAAATATGACCTAATTTATTGACCATTTCGAATAGCTGTATTGATTTATGGCGCAATTAAAATGAAAATGAAGTGGCAATAGAATTGACGATTACTTAAGAGCGTAGGCGTAGTACAAAGCAGAAAGAAAATGCAAAATAGATGACAAATAAATTACTTTATATATCATACGACGGGGAAACGGGGGAGATGATAACAGATTCAGAATAAGTAAAATATAACAAAATATACAACAGAAAGCATTACAGACATAGAAATTTAAGAGAAAGGGATTTACTGAAATGTAATACACTAAAATGGAAGCGTACTGTTACAGGCTTTAAAGAAAGGATAAAAAATTATAATATATATATATATATATATATATATAATAGGAAAAAAAGCAAAACGTATTTTTTTAGCCTCAATTAGATCATAAGCTAATATCAAAAACAAGAGTGAATAAGCAAAAATTAATAACTTAGTTTAAATTTTTTACTTTAGATTATGAAAACTAACCTTTATCAGTTTGACTCTCAATCTTAATTGGCTTAGTACCAAGAAGTGTTTCAGCGGTGAGGAAATTTAGGCCATTTTGTGTTAAGGCGCCTTTCTTTCCACTGTCATCAGGAAAGAAAATCCTACTGGTTTTTGTGATGCCTTGGAGATCGGCACCGGTTGGAGTATTCAGTAGTTCAGCCCCCTCAGGTGGAAAGAATTTCCTAACATCTGTGGCGGTATTTGGAGTTTCACCAGTATGAAAAGAATCAAAAGACACATTGAAAAAAGATGGAATTTGTGATGGAGTAAGGGTATCTTGAACCGCGTTGGAATCCATATTTTTTATAAAATAAACAATATAACATCAAGTATGACTGGAAAGGCTATAAACTGTTAGAATATCAACTGAAAAATAGGCACACTGACAGTGACCTTCAAATTTACATACTTTCAACAAATTTAGAAAAGCTATTTTAGAAACAGAAATTATCATTATTCTACATTATAAATAGCTTATTGTGCTATAAAGTGGGTTGATTTAAAATATATTTAATTTTACAATTTTGGTCATTTTACTATTTCAAATCTCTGGTCACCATGACAATGGAAGAGATTTGTTATTGGCTCTAGGTACGAATTTTAGTTCTAACTAAGCCTGTTTTCATGCCCTTTTTGGTAATGTAATTTTGTTCACGATAGAGCTATGAATACTCCATGTGGACGACAAAATTACAAGGATTTGGTAATCATTTTAAATTTTTGCTTGTTATTCACTGTTTGTATTCATATTTGTATCTATTGTTACATATGGAGTCTTTTCTTTATTTATAATCATGTCGTAGATTGCCTTCTTTGTAATATTTGAACATTTTAGATAAACTTTTATGAGCGTAAGACTGATGAAGCTTTACATAAAGCTACAAAATATAAAGAGTTGTTAGAGAGGAGTTACGCAAGTGTGATCGAATCTCTTGAGCACGCTATCGGTATGTTTAGAAACCTCTTTAGTTGAAATAAATTCTTTCAGAATATCTTGAAAAGGAAAAAGCCGTATGCAGTGATGACGATAAAAATCGTGCTATACTAAATGTACGTGAGAGGTCTCTTAAAAGTCAGCTTCAGATAATGCTGCCCTACCGAAAGCACTTGGATCCACGCAATCTGAGCAAACACATTAATGACAATTATAATTCTAAACCTTTGAATATGGCTGACACCTTTGTCTTTCTTGATCATCATCCTCCTTATCCACTGTCCAATTCACCTTCTTTGAAAATGTGCCCAAGAAACAAGGATGAGCAATTTGAGGAGTTGCAAGTTCGGATTGTTGAGTTGGAAAGAATGGTAAGCTTTATACTTCACTAGTTTACGGTGTAACTACTTCGTAAATCAAAATGTGTACTTTATTGGTTTTGCCTTTAGTATTAATGTTAACTCACTTTCTGCCATGCATTTGCTAATATTTTCTTATTTAACGAGATTTTATTTTGAAAGATAACTTGAGTTACCTTGTTGAGAATTGAGCTTTTGTTTTGTTCTAAAGTTTAAATGATCTTTTTAGAGCTTATTCTTCAAAATTCCTATCAAGTTGAGCTCAATGGACGGTTTAGTGCTTTTCGATTTGTAAATTGCTCCAGTTACTGCATTTTCGAAAGGGAATATTTGCTAAATAATTAATCTCTATCCACAATCTCTGGTCACTTTAGGTGGCATTGGAACGCATTACTTTGACATTATTTCAATGTTTTCTTCCTATTCATAGCTTAGTATTAATTTTTCGGTTTCAGTGCTTTAAAACTAGTATAAAACAAAATTCAATTTATCTATACTCATTGAAGCACATGCATATTTTGACTATGGAAAGAGCACTGCTCTGTTTCATTGAGACAATTTCATACCAACACTTTCATATTGACATTTATAGTTTGTTCGTTTAGTGAATTTCGTTCGCTTTATGTGTACCCATATATTATGTTTACCTAAATAATCGTGCTACAACAAATGTTCCACAGTTGACCATGGACATGCTAGTTTCTGTGACATTGACCAAGGATCTGCCTTAATCAGAGCAGTTTAATACTTTATTTCCAAACTGTTGATTTTCACTACTTTGACGCATCATTCAGTTTCACATTACACGGTTTAGATCTTTTAAATCACAATCGACACAATCAATAGTATCAGTTATGGTTTTGGTAGCCTTGAAGATGTTCAGGCCCTCATGAAAGAAATCCAACATACAATGTCTGTTTGCTTTGTGTTTAGGCACTTATACCATTAGCACTAAAATAATTTTTTGCTCGTAAAAAATTTGTTACGAATAATTTTTTTCAGAAACTATTAAAAACCTTTCACTAGTCAACTAATAGGCACATTTGAGTATATGCATTTCATCTAATATGTTGGGTAATTTCAGAAATCTTACTAACTGATAATTACCTTGATGTCTAAAAATACCTCAGCTGCATTTCCTTCTTCGTTCATTGTTCAGGTTGACCATCTCTCCCGAAAATTGGAGGAATCAGAACGCCGTGCAAGAGCTGAAGAAGACGCCCGCTTAATAGCTGAAGGTCAACTGCTTATGTTGTCCTCACAAACTCCTGCAATCGCTGATGCAAATTATCGTGAACTTATGACTTCCATGGATTCCCCGCCCTGTTCTCGACCAAGTACGTTTGCTTTGTCCTTTGACGACGACCAGGTGAATCATCATGAATAAGATCCCCCCCCCCCCCCACCTTTCTTCTCAATTCCTCCCGGTTATCACAAATTTCTTCCATGTAAAGTAATTCCCTTTGTTTTTCTCGTGACAAGCATCGACAATTTGTATTTCCATCTTCCTTCCCCCTCTTTTGTAAAATATTTCCATTTGCCACATTTAAGCAGGTATTTTAGATAGGAATTTGAGGTAAAAATGAAGTGGTTATGTTTCTATTTTTGTTACTTATATGTGGCGAGTTAACATTCACGCATGGCTACCATAGATTATTCATTATTAATTACAACGTTGTGTTGCAACGTTGTTAGTGTCGATTTCTTCCCGGTGCGCATGGAACGCTAAATCGATCAAGGTCTTATCATTCCTCGTTTGGTCCGTTCCTTCCGTTCATTTCCAATTGTCTACTTGCACCTGGTCCAACTTAGATCTTGATTCTTCCACTTGAGAATAGCTGTAGTATTCTGTTATTCGTAGAACGATTGATTGTTTCTTGAGAGTATTTCTTTCTTTTACTCTACGTAGGTCTAATCCATCCAGTAGATCTACTTTAAAATTAGTTGGCTTCCTGTAATGTCAAATAAATTAAATTCGCCATCGACCCTTTCACCATATGCTTTCTTTGTGTGCCCATCCATTTTCCTGAGATAGTAATCTTAATAACAAATATGTATGAGAATTATAAAATAAAGACAACTTCACCTAATCTTTATGATCGGCATTTAGATAATCAGGTCAGCTGATGGTAATTTATTTCTTGTCATGACGTGAGATAAGATAGTCCTTACATAAACGATGACTGACTCTTCGAAGTTGAAATAAAGAGAAGAAAGCTAACACGAAGTTGCAGGTGATCGGGAGCAAAGAGTGTATCTTCATTTATTTAAAAATGTAAAATCCAAAAAGTGAGGGAGTTCAACTGTTTTAAGATGATAGAAATCGAACAAGATCATGCCATTATCAGAAACGAACTGAAGTGTCAACATCGACCAACATAATTAAACAACCAATCAATGGACATTGGAAATTAAGGATGATAATATATTACTTTTTAACTTAAATTTGGTGCGTGAAGCAACGAACTGTCTATTTAGTTAAAGTTTTACAGCTCGAATGTGGAGATCCATTAACTTACATTTCGATAATCCCACACTCATTGAGTTTTTCCTGATTTCAACTTTTTCCTATGATCAAAAGTTGTTCTACACTGCTATGGAATATAACATAATTGGGATTATTAAAAAAGGAATTATGAAAAAAGAACGCATTAATATGTTTTTATTTTACCATTTACTGTCAGATTCTTAACACTCTACGGGAGTCTATAGAATTTGCTCCAAAGTTCTTAACAGGCATGTCACCCTTCTCAACCTTCAATTTCATAATAATACATCACTTTCTTTACATCCGAAAACTGGCTTTCGAACCTGTGCACTACAATGTCTGCTACAGGTATTAATTTAAACAAGGTAAAGTTATCTTATATCAAGTACCTTTCTTACGAACACACTTTTTTTCTATATTTCTTAGAAATCAGTCGGGTTTACTAACTAAGCTACGCATCCACTATGGCGAAAACCTTTTGGAATATGAGTCCATCAGACACATTTCTAAGCGGATAGAACTTCTCCTCTGATAACTCCATGTACTCATAATTCTTTATTCTAAGCCACAAGGTGAATGCATACTAGTTTCGTATCTTAATTAAATGCCAAGTAATTTCTCCTAAGCGTGAAGACTGATTAACAGCAATCACACAATGGTGTGAATATTGCATATTAATGTTACAATAGGCTAGTGAATTAGTGAATATAAAAGACGAAATCATTCCACATCAATTACGAAAAAAACAATATCCGTCCATTCAACTTCCTTTAGAATTATTGCCAAAAGGATCTTGCATTGTAGAACTCAATCTTCTCCCCATTTTTGCTTTCCACTCAAAGTAATGGGACGATAGAGATAAGCCGTACAAGAAAAAATTAGAATTTAAGACCAACTACCACTCGTAAAATTACTGAACTGCTTGAATCTAACAACCTACCAGTAAAATGACTAAAAGGGGAAACTAATGAGGGAATAGAAGAAGGAATAGGTTGGACTCAGTACTGAATTTCGACTATGGTCACAATCGAAATGGAGACAAAACAACCTTCGAGTCCGAAAGATTCAAAATAATCGGTTTCCTGATCATTTATTTATATCAAATGGCAGACGTTTTGGTAGTTATCATTAGCCCTTTAGTAGACTTCAGGCTTCACTGAGGAGAAGAAACATCAAAGTGAAAAAAGTCGAGGGGGAAACAGAAGAGAGACAGACGCAAAGGTAGATGAAAGGTGAGGTGAGTACTGTGGAAGTAGTCGAATATGACATACAGTGGGGTGATGGTAGTTTGAAGTGAGAAGTCAACTGCCAGTTAATAGACTTTTGTCGCATGAGTCTACGTTGCCCATGATGCACCATGTGGAGGTAAGTCTATCGCACACCCCGGTTTCCTGAACATAGATCACAACATTTTGTTATCTGAGTTCATTTCTCGTACATTTAATTATCCAATTCGGATTCATCCATGCCGTCTTCGTCAAACAAGTAAGAGAAATTAAATGTTTGCTAACCTCTTTCTACTGGATCTGATCAACTGTAGTCATACTGCATTCTTGTTGGGAACTTCGAAGTACCTAGTGGTAACTTGTATAGGAAATTTCCCAAAAAATTATAATCATTCGATTTAACGCGAAAATGAAAAAGAAGTCGCAAGCTTGTTTAACTAGTGGGGGGGGGGGGGCGGAAGGCGAACAATTTGAATAATGCTTGGCGATGCAAGACATTAACAGCAATTATGTATCGAACGCACTTAATCACTACTCACTATATTTGCCCGGTGGCAACGTCTGCAATCACCGTAATTCAACCCAATCCCCTTGTGTCCTACTCACTTGAACTAATGCGACTTTTGTTACAGGCGTATATACTTCGCGTGCTCAAGTTGACCACTACTCATTGGCATGCTTTTACTCACATTATAGCTCAATCTATCATCATACTTTGGTGACTCAAGGACGCAAAATTTCAATTAACCCCTCCCCATCATCACTCCCGCTTTAGTGTAACTCAGCCGTA